AGGTGATAACCAACACCTTGAATTGCGTCCGGAGGCCAATTGGTAGACAGTGCAGCTCGCGGAGGACAGGTGTAACGTGGGTGTACCTCGGTGCACCCAATATCGCTCGCTCAAAGAAGCACTTATTATCAGGTACCATAATCCTAGTGAAAAGATGTCCATTCAGAATGACCAAATTAATGAGCAACGGTACCCCACTATAACCATCCGACTACAATAATTGCCAGCAAGTCTACAGTTGAACTACTTGAAAACAATGTTCAGATTTACTAGAAATAAAAATATTTCATTATGTATTTTATTAATTGGATTATCAATACATCTTCTCTGAAAAATAGAAAAGCTAGAAGCATATTTTTATAATGATATGCTTGAGGGAGAAGAATAATTGATCTAACGTACATTTAGAAAGTAGAAACAAAGGCAAATATATTTTGAGCTCCTTAAAAGCTGTTAAAGTCCACCTCTTGCTTTTGAAACTGAACACGAACACAGAAGAGGGCTTTTTTCAATAGTTGTGTGTAGACTGTTCTCTACTTATGATCATTCAAAGTTACAACCACCACAGAAGGAGTGCTATACAACTCTCAAAGTATCCCAACTGTCATAAATGGTCACACCAGCCCCCATGCAGTCATACAGCTGCACGGGGGGGAGGGTGTCAGCTTTATGACCAGTAAGCGTTCTGCAATCACGTGATTGTGGTTCATGGTTTTTGCCAGTTTCTGGCAAAAAAGAAATCATTCAAATGAATGGGTTCGATTAACAACTGTTGTGTTTAATGTCCACAAAACAAAAATAAGGCCAGAATATTACTTTCACTCACATGGTGCTTCAACTTATGACCATAATTACTTACAATGAAATTGTAACAAATCCAGCCCCAATTATGGTTGTAAGTTGAGGACTACTTGTAGAGATTCTAGCACAAAGTGACTGCATAGCTCTCTTTGGGAAAATATTTGGCTACTGGGGGGAAAATATCTGTTCAGTTAAGCCTCTGGACTATTCAGCGGAAGACTTCTTTGGTGGTGCTGATGGGTTTAATTTAAGTAGCATGCTCTGATATTCCTGTTTATTTATTTTATTTTATTGCATTATATCATACGTTTGATAATTTTTACCTTGCACCAAGGTATACATTTAAACCATTATTTCTCAATATGTGCAGATAATAGATCGGTGATCACTCAAAAGAGCCTTTTTTTCACATGTTCTTTCTGAGCATGAACTTTCATGTGGCTTTGCATACAATAGCAAGGTTGAATGCAAAGTGACCTATCAGCTTCAAAGACCTGCATGGAACTTAAATATCATTTACGTTTTTTTAACATATACCATTTTTCAAAGGAGTGAGACATGGAGGTTTCTGTCTAAAGCCCTGAACAGCTGATCCGAAGCTCATTCTACAGAGGAAATTACAACAGAGGGGAACAAAGCAGAAGTGACAGATTGCAACAAGGAGGAAATTGCAAGAACGGGTAGAGAATGTTACAAGAAGAAAGCAAGAGGCCGGGAAACAAAGAAACCAGGCTTCAACTGGCATCTCATTGTGGCTGCACCGGGGGGGAAAAAAGCACAAAAACCAAGTTACTGTCTACTAGTATTTTGGAAGCTGTCACATTTAATATCATTTTCCTCCTGTAACATTTTTTATTTATTTCCAATAGCAGTTTTCTCTTTATAGTTTTTAAAGGCCAAACATTGTTTAGTTTTATGTATAGATTAAAGTGCAATTATTAAAAGTATATTCCTTGATCAATTCTTGCCCTAATTAAATCGTTACTTTTATTTATAGGGTGATGTTGCACCAATTCATTTTGTCATTTTAGAGGGTTACAGTATTGCAAGGCTAAAAAAAACTTTGATGAAAATAATTATAGCTAAACATAAACTAAATGTAAAGCAATTAACCAATACATGCCATCTATCATCAATTCATACAGTTCATATAAGATGCTGTCAATGAAAGGGCCGCCTGAATTCCCAGCCTGGCTGTGGAAGATTGAAAGTTTTAAATCTGTATGTTACGTTCATTTATCTTATGAATGACATTGATGGAGATTAAATTTTAAGTATGAAGGCCAATGAACCAAATCATTACATATCTCACACACAAAGTTATAATTGCTGCTACTTTTTATAATATTAATTAATAAATCTGGGGTGTGAATAGCCATTGAGTTTGCAGAGAAGGACATTTGAAAATGAAGTATCTGTCTACAGCAGTGTTTCTCAACCTTAGCAACTTGAAGATATCTGGACTTCAACTCCCAGAATTCCCCAGCCAGCGAATGCTGGCTGGGGAATTCTGGGAGTT